CAAAGCAAGTCTTTGGTAACCAGCTCGTCTAAGGAAAGAGTAGGTGGAATGGTGCCAAAGGGCCTGGCCCCACCTGCTCCCACTGGGGCCTGTCCCATGATGGAGATAGAAGGGCCTGGGCCCCGGGAACCACTGTGCTGGGAAGCTGGAGGGGCTGCACCTGAAGATGAAGCCTCCAGTGACTTGGACCTGGAGCAACTCCTGGAAGATGTTGGAGAAGAGCCTGAGCCAAGAGAGGAGTCGCTGCGCAGAGATGCCGGGGAGGACGTCACCATGGCCTTATTGGAGGAGTAATTGAGTGACCTTGCCCTCCTTCCTGGCCTCTCACTCTCCTTCCCTGGGGTGCAGGAGTGAGAGCCTCTCAGTGGGGTCTCTGAGAAATTTATTGGTGTTATGGCTACAAGGTTAAAGTCAGAGTTGTATGGTTTACGTATTAATAAAACAGGTTACTGTTTTAATTGGCCTCACTTGTCTCTAACCATATCCTTCCTTTTTGCTTCCTCTCCTCCTCAGAGCCACTGTGGCACATCATTGTTTTTGGTGAGAGACCTGTCTGTACAATATAGGAGTCCAGGGGAAGGCAATGACACCTGAGTCCTGGAAAAATATTCAGAAGGGCAGATCTGGGTTCAAATCCTAGCTCAGCTACTTCCTAGCTATATGGCCTTAGGAAATCCCTTTACCCATTCTGATTCTTAGTTTTCATGCCTCCAAAGGAGTGCATCATCTGCCTTACAGGGTTGTTGAGATGTGTAAGTGAGATAATGCCTGTAAAGCACTTAACACCACATCTGCTAGTTATCACTGAAAAAGAAGTAGAATGGTCAGGCTAGGGGTATAGATCTGAGGTTCTGGACTGGCTGCCAGTATCTGGGATTTATTGTTCGCTGGCCTGAGGCAGTCACTGAAAAAATAGTACTAGAGGAGAGATCTTGGGTGTGTTCCTCCTGTAGTTTGTTTTTGGTGGGAGGAGCAGAGGGTGAAGGTGAGATAAGTCTTAGATGCATTCAGATGAATTTTCTGGGTACTTTTATTTT